TTCGTTGAAATTGTTGATTTTTCAAAAAAATTACGAGATTCGCGGAAATTGCGTGCTTTCTTGGCATTTTCCGTTCGCGGCAGGCGGTTTATTTTTGATTGTTGCAAGTGTTTTTGTTTTTTTTTTTTTTTAGATAATAATAATGTGAAATAAATCACGATATTTGACAGATGTGCATATATATAGAAATTGTAATAATAATAATATTATATCATAAAATTGTAAATTGTTTCAATTTTTTATAGACTGCGATAAAAGATTTTACATTTGGATAAGAAACTGCGGTAAGTAAAAATATAAAATTCTTGAAAACGTAAAAATATTTGATAACGTAAAAAGGTGAACTTTGAAAAATAAGGAACTTAAAAATTGCACTAATAAATGGGCTATATATGTGAGCCGTGCGCGGATGTAAGGTGTGTTATATCGAAATTTAATTAATAGAATTGAGAATTAATCCCAATTTTAAGTCTTACAAATGTCCAAGCTAATTTTTTGTACCTCGTGTACATTTTTGAAAGTTATATCGAAAAATTAAATTTCAATATGCGTCTTACATCTCACATTTCGCATACGGCTCACATATAGCCTATTTATCTCTTATACTTTATTTCAACCCTTATAGAAATTTATTACTAGTAACGCCAATTTATCACTTATTTCGAGTAATTAATCACTTTTATTTCGAATACTTAAATTACTGTATATTATAGTATTTTAAATACTCAAAATAAGTGATTAATTGGCGTAGTGATAAATTTCTACAAGAGAATAAGGAGCCTTTAAATTCTTAATGTAAAAAATTTCAAGTAATTTTCTTTAATAAAATTTAATTAAAAAATTTAATTAAAAAATTTTTGAACACTGTGTTATATCACATTTAAAATCGTGATTATTTCAATAAAAAAACATTTTATGTGTAAAAAATATATTTTTTATATTTAATAAATTTTATATATATATGCATATATGTAAAATATTCTCTCTCTCTCTCTCTCTCTCTCTCACACACACACACACACACACACACACACACAACGGGGGCCAAATCTCTCAAATTGGTCTCATGATCAATTAGCCTGGATTCGCACCAGGGGCAAAGTCTGTTGGTAATGTCAAACGAATTTAGCCTGGACTTGCACCAGGGGCAAAGTCTTTTGGTCGAGTCTACGAAATTTAGCACGGACTCGAACCAGGGGCAAAGTCTTTTGGTTCAAGTCTACGAATTTAGCACGGACTCGAACCAGGGGCAAAGTGTGTCGGTAAGGGGCAAAGTCTATCGCACGAAGATGGCGGTCTCTTCTTTAGGCAGGCCTTTGGCGATCTGTCTATTAATCTGTGATCATGAGACCAATTTGAGAGATTTGGCCCCCGTTGTGTGTGTGTGTGTGTGTGTGTGTGTGTGAGAGAGAGAGAGAGAGAGAGAGAGAGAGAGAGAGAGAGAGAGAGAGAATATTTTACATATATGCATATATATATATAAAATTTATTAAATATAAAAAATATATTTTTTACACATAAAATGTTTTTTTATTGAAATAATCACGATTTTAAATGTGATATAACACAGTGTTCAAAAATTTTTAATTAAATTTTTTAATTAAATTTTATTAAAGAAAATTACTTGAAATTTTTTACATTAAGAATTTAAAGGCTCCTTATTCTCTTGTAGAAATTTATCACTACGCCAATTAATCACTTATTTTGAGTATTTAAAATACTATAATATACAGTAATTTAAGTATTCGAAATAAAAGTGATTAATTACTCGAAATAAGTGATAAATTGGCGTTACTAGTAATAAATTTCTATAAGGGTTGAAATAAAGTATAAGAGATAAATAGGCTATATGTGAGCCGTATGCGAAATGTGAGATGTAAGACGCATATTGAAATTTAATTTTTCGATATAACTTTCAAAAATGTACACGAGGTACAAAAAATTAGCTTGGACATTTGTAAGACTTAAAATTGGGATTAATTCTCAATTCTATTAATTAAATTTCGATATAACACACCTTACATCCGCGCACGGCTCACATATAGCCCATTTATTAGTGCAATTTTTAAGTTCCTTATTTTTCAAAGTTCACCTTTTTACGTTATCAAATATTTTTGGTACGTTTTCAAGAATTTTATATTTTTACTTACCGCAGTTTCTTATCCAAATGTAAAATCTTTTATCGCAGTCTATAAAAAATTGAAACAATTTACAATTTTATGATATAATATTATTATTATTACAATTTCTATATATATGCACATCTGTCAAATATCGTGATTTATTTCACATTATTATTATCTAAAAAAAAAAAAAAAAACAAAAACACTTGCAACAATCAAAAATAAACCGCCTGCCGCGAACGGAAAATGCCAAGAAAGCACGCAATTTCCGCGAATCTCGTAATTTTTTTGAAAAATCAACAATTTCAACGAAATTGTAAATTCTTCAAATCACTGCACAAGTATAATTCACAATAATAATTTTCAGTAACTACGATAAAAAATCGTATACTGAAAACCGCAAACGAAAGTGCAATGGGAGTAAGAGTAAAGTCTGTGATAAAATTAATTGGCAATAGAAAATTAATAATTTTCAAATAGAAAAATTTTGAAATTACCGAGGATTTACAAATAATAAAGTAAAAATATTAAATAATTTATGTTTTCGAATTTTGCTCGCGGAGAGGATCTTTAAAACAAGATTTTTAGAAGAGAGGACCTTTAAAATATAAACAGGCAAAAACGTTGGAAAAATTAAAGCGCGCGTTTAAACAGATAAACGCAATGAAATAAATACGCAATTGTTTTTACTTATCGCTGTAAGCTCACAAGCTTCTGACGTGCTATACACTTTTATATAATATATACAGGGTGTCCGGTAACTAACGGACCAATGATTAAGGGCGGATTCTCTGGCCAATTTGGAGACGATTTTTCCTTAGCAAAAATGTTGAGAAGTCAATAATTTTCGAGTTATAAGCGATTGAAAAAAATAGGTTTTTTGAAAACTAAACGTTTTGGAGTTAAAAGTCTAACATAATTACATTCTTCAGTTAATTTCAGGTAGAGTTTACTATAATAAAATTTTAATTTAAGGCTTAGTTATAAAGATACATAATGACAAAGATTGGAAAGTTGTAAAAAATGATGACCTTTTTCGACATTTTCGCTGAGGAAAAATCGTTCCCAAATTGACCAAAGAATCCATTTGTAATCATTGGTCTGTTAGTTACCGGACACCCTGTATATTGGACACGAGTTTCGTTTGTTTCAGATTCTCGAGAGTTGAAGTAGGAACATACGAGTATCATATATCGTTTGTGACTTGCCGAATGAAAGCAAGACAGAGAGCGAACGAGATGATGAGCTTAATAGCTCATAATGTTATAAATAAATAAATAAAAAATTATAACCTGACCTACTAGTTATTGAATCTTTTTTTAATAAAATGTTTCATTATTATTATCATCTAAGTCTAAGTCGTTTAATTACTTTTTAGTTTTTTAATAATTAATTTAATTTATTCTAGTCATTTTTATATGAGAAAAATAATATCACGTATACGTTTTATAATGAATTAATATATTTCGGGAACCGAATTATATATTCTTAATAATATAAAAGTGTTCAAAAATTATATTTGACTTTTAATTTTAATTATTTTTTAGCAAAGAGTTCCGAAATCTCTTACACACATAATGGGGATTTTTTTCATCCATATAATTCGCAATTAAGTATATATGTTAATTATTAATTTTAATAAAATAAAAATTAAAATTAAAGGTCAAATATAATTTTTAAACACAAATATATTAAATTAATTATAAAACGTATACCCATGATAGTATTTTTCTCGTACAAAAATAATTAGAGTAAATTAAATTAATCATAAAAGATTAAAAATTAATTAAAGAATTTAAACTTATATTTTATATAATAATAATAAAACATTTTATTACGTCAAACCGTCGTGAAATAATTAAATAAAATTTGCTAGTTACGTCAAAGTCAAGTTTTCTAAGCTTATAAAACATTTTATTAAAAAACAGATTCAATAAATATAAGTACATGTTATATATATACTTATATTTATTGAATCTGTTTTTTTATAAAATGTTTTATTATTATCATATATAATATAAATTATTTAATTATTTTTTTATTTTTTTATGAGTAATTTAATTTATTCTAGTTATTTTTGTACGAGAAAAATACTATCACGGGTATACGTTTTATAACGAATTAAATATATTTATGTTCAAAAATTATATTTGACCTTTAATTTTAATTTTGTATTTTATTAAAATTAATAATTAACATATATACTTAATTGCGAATTATATGGATGAACAAAATCCCTATTATGTGTGTAAGAGATTTCGGAACTCTTTGCTAAAATAATTAAAATTAAAAGTCAAATATAATTTTTGAACACTTTTATATTATTAAAAATATATAATTCGACTCTCGAAATATATTAATTCATTATAAAACGTATACGTATTAGTATTTTTCACATATTAAAATGATTAGAATAAATTAAATTAATTATTAAAAAACTAAAAATTAATTAAACGACTTAGACTTAGATGATAATAATAATGAAACATTTATTAAAAAATAATTATAATAGGTCAGGTTAATATTTTATTTATTTATTTATTTATAACATCATAAAATTCTGTCCTTTCCGAAATACGCGAACGCTACGAAAAGATAAATCTCGTACATGCCGCCGGACGAGTTCATGAGCATGAGACGCTCTTATCTTGGGAACGTATTAATAGTTACTGCATTGACCACTACTACGATATGGCGCTGAAATCAGTGAGAAATGCTGGTCTCTCCTTCATCCAGACCTTTGGCGATCTGTCTATTAATCTGTGTCTGGGAACGTATTAATAGTTACTGCATTGACCATACTACGATATGGCGCTGAAATCAGTGAGAAATGCTGGTCTCTCCTTCATCCAGACCTTTGGCGATCTGTCTATTAATCTGTGATTAGGTTAGGATTAATCATGTCAATTTTTAGAAAATTGTTGAAAAAAGCGCATAAGTCAAAGTCGAGTATGCTTTGAATGTGTTCCAAGTAATACTGCGATAACGCTTGAACAATAATGCTTATCAATTTACACGTATTCCATCGGAGTTAGATCATAAAAGGAAACTTTTTCGTAAGTACGTGGAATTATTTTTTTTATATAACAGTGCTTTTTTTATCATATGTTTAAGCAAGATATTAATAATATAGTTTATAATAATATTTTTAATCAAGATACAATTTCGAAGGAGACTATAGTGATATGCAATTTTAAATACATTCATATTTTGATTTTAATGGATATTATAAAATTATATAAAAAATGAAAGCTTTAATCTTAATTTTGATTTTATCTAAGATTAGCCTTTTAAAAATAATTAATATCAGCTATAAGTAATAATAAGTATTAAATACTTATACAGCAAAGTATAAGGCATCAATTTTTTATTTTATAATCTTGAGACAAAAATCTTATTTTATAATAAAATATTTATTATATGATATATTTATATACAATTTTTGTTACAGAAAACTGACGAAATAACTAATGTTATAAATTGTTAAGTGCCTTTAATTAACTCTTCCACTTGTAATATAATAAGCTGAAAATGAATCTCTTACTTATAAATGATTATTTGGGGACATATTCTGGCAGAGACAAAATATTAAGAACCCTTTCTTATTCGGCAAAGTTACTTACTGTATGTACTTTGTCCAAGAATACTGAAAAAAAACTTAAGACCTTTGGAAGCCAAATGAGTGAATGCAGAGTGATGTTGCGCTTATTAGATGATCTTCCAATGCTTCATTTCATAATAACATATGGCTGGGGAAAAAAGGTAAATTGTTGTTTATACAATAATATAAATTAGAAATGCACACATAATTAAAAATAAAATATATTAATTATTAAATGGAATTATGTTACCTTTCTTTTTTATGTATAAATCATTAATATATATATATAATTAAATAATAGGAACCAGACTGGTTGATTAGATGGAGCCAAGTGATACAAAATGTAATAGATGTAATTTATTGCCCTGTAGAACATATTTGTTGGGCCGGTCAGCATAATATTGTATCAATCAATACTAACAAATGGGATCTTGCTACCACTTGGTTTTGGATAATTTCTTTACATCTGTCATTACTTAAGTAAATGAAATATATTAAAATATTTTATATATTCTATGTTCCCCCCAAAGTAAAATTTCATGTAAAAATTAATAGTATGCATTTATTATAGACACATTTAATTTTTAGATAAATATCAAAATATGTGAAAATATAAAATATCTAATAAAACAATTATTATTTCAGATCAGTGAGATTACTCCAAAAGCTTCAGAAGTATAGAACAAGCTTAGAAAAAAGTAATCCTGATGTACAGTAAGTATATTATATTATTAAGACTTTTTATACATCTTTTATAAGAAGGAATCATTTTATATTAACAATAATATTACTTTGAGAATTTCATATAAAAAAGAATAAATTTGACATATTTATTTCTTCTATCAAATATAGAAGCACATTGAAGGAAATCAATGAGAAACGGCAAAGTGCATTATTGGTATGCACACGTCTTGCATTGGATATTACATATGCGATTAGTTATTTACCACCGAGCGTACTTTGGGGAGGTCGTTTAAAAACATGGCATGTTGGTGCACTTGGTACAATATCGTCGTTGATTGGACTTTATCAGGCTTTTAGCCAACGACTCAAAAGTTGAAAATTTGCTCAAATAAAAAAGTATTATTGTTACATTTATTGTACAATGTGGGCTACGGGGCTGTATATATTATATTATATATATTATAATAACATGAAATTATTAATATATATTCAGATTTATTTTATATATTTCGTCGATAAATGTTAATTTTGTAAATTAAATCTAAAATAAATATACAAAGCATTATATGTAAATAATATATATAATATATATATATATATACGAATATATAAATAACTCAATCTGGGTCTTATTACACGAATCGATGCCATAAGTTTAATATTTTATTTTATAATTAAACTGTTAAAAAATAGGTTGTTTTAAAATAAGCATTTTTATTTAAATAAACTATATGTATTATATAGTTATAATATACTATATTATACTAACCGGTGCAAAACTATCCAATTGTAAAAACTAACATTAAGCATTATGTGATAATTTCTTCTATAATAATAAATTCTCTTATATATATTATTGTACTATATCAATCAGGAAAATTTTTACACAGAAGAGATTAATATATAATAGAAAATATTATCCAATAGTCCAATGATGAGCTCAACGCTCATTCCAGAATCGGTAAAAGTGATAATTATTTGTTTAAGCGTATGAAATCATTAAGTAATATATCAATCGTATCGTTAAAAAATATATTAATTGCATATTTATTCGCACAATCATCCCGATTGATGTTACATGCCCTGATAGAATTCTGTAATATACTTGGAAATTGAACACACTCGTACAAGTTTTCAAAGAGATATTTTTTATTAATTAAACAATTTATTCTAATAGAGTTCAAACATACGATATCTATCAATCGTTCTATCAGAATAATCAGTCATTTAATTACGTATATATAAAACTTTGAAGGCTTATATTAAGCGTAGAACATACGCATAATTGGCACTTACCAAAGAGATTTAGGTGCTTATATAGCTAAAAAGATAATTTATATCTGTCGTGTAAAATAATCTATAAAGATTATGTTGAAAGGCACGACTTATTGAAACCTTTCTAAACAATACATGCTATAGATTATTAAAATTTGTGTCCGATAAAATATCTTCTTTTGAAACGGATAATTCTGCCATTGCATAGACTGATTTATAGATTAATCGTCATTGATATATGTATATTCAAAGCGCTTTGACCGCGAAAGCTTGTGTGTTTACATATATATATGTATATGTATAATATATATTTCTTTATCAGTATATATTTTTAAAGCACTTTTTTTAAATAATTGCTTATATATGTAGCAACCATATTAATCACATATCTGCGAACCATATACATGTAATATATATTTAACGGAGTATGTATTAGATCGTATTGTCGAAATATTTCTTTAAGAGAATATTAGCTTTATAGTTAACTGCGACAAAAATTCATTGTTATCATTTAGATGGACAGTCTTAGGCTTCTTTTATAGATTTTTACACATCCGCATATTTCCTGCAAGATAAATTGTGCGATCGAATATATAGCATTTCCATCGAGATTACTTTTTCTTCTAACAATTTAACATTATTATTATTCGTCGCTAAAATGAATCTGATATACAATATGAAAACTCAAATATGAAATAGTTCAACATTGTTTTAATCAACAAACACAGAAATTAACGAATTAATACATAAAAATAAAAATGAAATGTATGTAAAAGATTCTTAATTAATTTCGGCCTTGCAGTCAATACATTCTTTTCTGTTTAATATAAAAAGATTAAAACAAAGGTAAAATATTTTTCTACTTATGTTAATTTTTTTTAAATTAATTAGAATAAGTTAGATTAAAATTATATATAGTTAGTAAAATAATGTATTTTGTTATAAAATATGATCAATGAGAGTACGGTAATCTAAGAAATTCTGTATCCCCTTATAATATACATACTCTATTGATAATATTTTGTCACTGACAAGGCTGAAATAATTATTTATTATATGGCAAAAGAGAAAAAAAAATAAAAACAGTCATCGGGTATCTGCAAAAATATGGCCTTTAATTCAACAAAATTGTATCAAAACGGGAGAAACGCGAGTAAAGGATGAACTGCATTTAAAGAAGAGAGCTGTAACATAATTATACATAGTAAGAAAAAAAAGAAAAAAAAAGAAAACTAAATCATTTCCCTACAATCCGCGCCAGAATCGTAGACCATGAACTTCTCCATTTCGTCAACCGTTAAACAGTCCATGTGAGCGAAATATCTGTGACAGCCGCTCGCTTCGGCTAATACAAAAATCCAGTCGATTGTGCTTCAGTAAGCGCAACATACGTTTACTATCGCAATCGAGAGCATAGAGATACATTGTGATCTAACGTAAAATTAACAATGTTTAACGTCATTGACAAGTATCGTAATGGAAGAACGATCAGCGAGTTATGTAATATACATCCGAAAAAGTCTCCCGTTATATCACATTAATATCGAATATATATATCACGCGCGCAATGTAATAATGACAAATAATTATTGGATAATTACTTTCGCCACTTTAGAATAATCTTTTTAACATTATCGATTAACAATTCATATTCAATTATTAAGCGTAATACTTTAACACGATAAACGCATGATGACGATATACTATTATAGATTTCCTGAGAATTTTACATGTTTCATTGAGCCCAGCTCAAAATTACCATAACGGAGCCCTATCGTCTCGCGTAAAAAATTATTGTCACTGCAAAAGCCAGAATTCGACTCTCACGACTTTAACGAAAAATGTGTATGCGCTAGCTAATATGTCTGTTATGTGTACGTACATGTATACACGTGTGTATGTATACTGTACGTATTCCTAATGCGCAATTATGGCTATGTATCTAGCACCTACTGTACTCGGCATATGATTATTAAGTATTATTTCGCGGTAAAAAAAAATCGATAAGAGAACCTGTCTCTCTAAATAAATATACTAAATAAAAGTACATCGTTTGCGCTCGAACGTAGTAAAAACTGCGTTCGCAATAGGAACTTTTTTTGACAAACACGATTTTTCCATATTTATCTTGTCTTTTCGCACGCACGGTAGTAACGATAATAAACCAATCGTTGCGCGTTTCCGCAAGCTCAATCAGCGGTATGAATCGGCGCATGTCCCCGTATCATCGGACTAGTCCTAGCTGTCCTAGACGGCTCCGCGATAAAAACTAAGTCTGCACCCTGTTACCCAATGTTCTAAATCAGGCGGCGCAACGTCGGTTAACCGAAAGAGTCAAAAAGGAACAAAAAAGAGAGGAAGACGACGGGTGCAAAGCGAACGTAAAGCGAATGTACTAAACTGTGACCGCAAGTGTACAAAAACTTGGTCGCTTCCTTCAGATCACGTCGTCGTATTTCTGATATACGAAGGACGTATGTATATGTTAGTTGTTCATTCCGAAGTTCAGATTTAACCCTATTACTTGATTAGTTTTTGAGTTCCTCGTCAAGGGTGTATGATGCGACATTGAATCTACGGAATGTTGCCACTGCCAGCAGCTGCGGCAAAAGTACCGGAAACATGCCTAAACATAAATGTATGGAGAATTTTAATAAATAATATATATATATATATATATATATATATATATATATACTATATATAGATTTAAATTATAAGAAATAATTGAAAGATTAATTAAATTAAATTGTCATTACATACCACATCACGACAAAAGTAATGTCCTTGTTGTACAGCGCATCCGGAGCATATCGATTCTTCGATGTACGGGTCCACTTGTACCTGAGAAACATGCAAATATGAAAGTATATAATTTTTTATATAAGCTAAATAATAGGCCCATGTTCTCAATTTACTTTTATAGATAAAAATAATTTGAGAATATTGGCCATAGTTTTATGTTTGTTTTAAAATTCAACGTACCTTTTTCGTAAATTTGTCAGTCTTAATTTCTATGAATGACGCAGTGATTGCTTTAAAGTACGATTGTTTCGTACTGAATGTAACACGGCCGGAACCTATCGGATATTTATGCTTATCGGTATCAATACCTACGATAAATAATAAATTTTATTAATTTTTCATGTAGGATTATTTTAAGTAATTGTGTGACGTAAATATACGAAACACATAAAATATAAATAATGTGTAAAAATTTAAAAAAAGTAACATAGAATGATAAACAAAATAAATGACAATTACACACCCGCGTAAATGACTCCATGAAAAAGGTCATCCATGACTTTTGCTAATCCTGCGGCTGTTAGCATTCCGTGCAGTGCACCAACAAATACCGTTTTATGCGCATCGAGTCTTTGCGATGAAGATTTGACATAATTGCTATTCTCGAGAATCCATGGAATCACTTGTACCTGAAATGATATATAAAATTACAAGAATTTAGTTTTAATAATATATCTTCAAAAAAAAAAAAATATATATATATAATTAACATACATCTTTTGGCTTTGAACGCTTGGATATAATTTTATAATACCATCTCTTTCCATTAGTAATATCATGGGTACAGCAAGACAACATTGCTCTGACCTGAAAGAAATATATTATTTATAATACAATCTTTGTATTATCCAAGATTAATAATCAAATGATTGTCGCGTACCTGTTTCTCCGATTCGAATATAACGTATGCATATCCTTTCGGTTGAGCGGACGGTGCCTTTGTCGGCCATTCAACGCGAACCGGTCCAAATTGTTTGAACGTCGAAATTAGAATGGCTTCCGTAACATCCCATGGTACACCTCCCAGAAATACTTTAGGCGAATAAGCAAGTGGTTCCTCAGTACTTTGTGGCAAAAAGCCACTCCATGTGCACGTAGGATAACAATGTGCTGTGATATATATATATATATATATATATATAGATATATATATATAATATATAACAAATATATAAATAAATGTAAATATATATTAAAATATTTATAAATAAATATAAATATATATTAAATATATATATATAATATATATATATAATATATATATAATTCTATATAATAAATAAATTTATACATTTACGAAATCTACAAAATTTGTATTCCTATTTAGTCTAGAGTAAATTTTTTTTGCTAATATAGATCGAAATTGTGTCAAAAAATAGGCATTATATCATAAAAAAGTTACGATATTTAACATTTAATATCATTTATAAGTAATTATATTGAAAAATTTCGTTAAAATATTCTAAAAATTTTTTAAATCTCTGTAACGCAAAATATGGATGCAAATTTTATATGATTAATTTGGATTTGGATAATTTGTCATATATTTGTGTATAAATAATAATAATTGCAATAATCTTTGTATAGCGTAAGTAAATAAAATATATCATATATACAAACCAGCAGCATTTCGGTGGGATCTTGCTACTCGATCGAGTGACACTGGTTGAGCTAATCTACGCGTGGTGCTTCCAAGATTGGTACAGCAATTCTTTTCATGATTTAAGAGAGAATTGAGAAAATTGCTACGATTTTGCCCGATTCCGTGATGATGCTGGTAATAATGCGAGTTCGGATTCTGTTGCAACGATGACAAGTATTTTTTATAGCCATACGCTCGAACGCCGTTCTATTGTTAGGGCACGCGTTTGTCTTCGATATTATAGAGTCCAAGGATGGCGGGAAGCAAGAATTCGATGAGGAATTCAGCGATAAACAATTCTGCGAATAAGAATTTTAAATTAGCGGTGGTTAGCAAAAATGAATTTTTTTATTAAGAATTTTTTATAGAAAAAAATGTTCTCTCACCATTATTATGTCGGATAAGGAACCATCCGCGCTACCAATTCCGCTTGTCTCCGAGTCTGCTGGTGAGTTGGAACGCGAGCCGTTACATCCCAAAAAATGAGGGAATTCTAATGTCGGGCTGCCGCAATCACTAACATCAATAAATTATCATTTGTGGAATATACGAAATATATAGGAATTCAGTAATATTTCGCATATGTACACATAGTCACAAGATATATATACAATAATTTCATTGATATTTAATACAGTAATTGATAGAATGAATTACATATATACAGTTATATGTAATTTAAAATTAGCAAATATCAAAACTTGATATTAATAAATGTGTCGAAAACTTATTATTCTCTGTATTGGGAATACATTTTAGAAATTTATATCAAAAGCGCATTTTATACTTTTAAAATACACACTCTTATGATGCTCTCACTGTCTTTATCTCCTGATTCTTTTCTTACCTGTACGGGTAGAGCAACCTCGTATAGGGCGGCCAAAGTATGACGAATCGATGGGCGACGAGTGCGACGACGAAGAGCAAGGATATTGAAACGACGGTCGGCTGGTTGGTGAAGACGGCGTGTTTGTACTATTACTGGCAGTGGACGAATAGCTGTAAAGATCCGACATAAAGCTGCCGGGTGTGCTAGGGCTGCCGGGAGTGGCCACTGAATTCGGCGAGCTCGGAATATCCAGGCCAGAGGAATTCGAGCAAAAGCCGTGATTTCGATGGCACTGTAAGCATACATAATAATTAATACAATAGTTGCACAAGTTTCCAAAAGCTGCCAAAATTTTAATCTTATATCTTACATATATATATATATATATATATATATATATATATATATATACATATACATCCTTCTTGTAAATCTTAGAAATAAATTAAGTTCTCGACTCTTACAATAAGATAGTCATCGATCATATCTCGTTGAATTCAGAGATCTCAATATCGCATATATACATATAAACATAAAAATAATTTTGTCTGTATTTGTAGCGTCTAAAATTGAACTTAGATATGAAACTGTTTCGTGTTCTAGTTTAAACGACATATCTCAGGATTTGCGAGGTAGTAGAAAGAAGTGTGGAATCCTCTTTGCGCACATGCGTTTCAAAGTACTTGGAATACGTCCAAATTGAAACGAAGTATTATGCGATATGTGAGAGAACGCAGTGTCTTGAAACGGCAGCGACTTTGTGTCGGCTCGAATTAAAGGGAAAAAGGGCGTTCTCTGTTTATATAGAGCCGTTTGACTCGCGTGAACCAGCGGATTCTCGGCCATCAAGACTACCCTAGCGTATCATTCATTTTATACGAATTACTATACTTATATCTTGAGTCAAATTTATCGGAGATTCGTGATGAATTTGTTTTATATTCAAAGATATTTGAATCATATATTTGAAGTGTATATTTAAATATTTTATATATATAATTATATCTTAAATTATATATATAAAATATCTATAATCCAAGAAATAAATGATAATTGAATTTCTATTATAATCTATAAAAGATTGATTCGAATGTGCACGTAATTCTAGACATGCACGTAAAATATATAATGCGATATGATGAACAAAATATCGATAAAGTTAAATGTTAAAATCAGAAAACACGGCTGAAATAAGGTAGTTGGAATTATTCCAACGGGATAATCATTATTCGAGTTATTGCACTGCCGAGGAAATTCCTCCAGTACAATATGCTTTATGTTACGTTTATCATCTTTATTGCCATTCTATACGTAAAATTTGTAGCTCGCTGAAGTTATTATATCGTATCGCGTTTTTTATCAAATCGTCGTCGCGTCAAATGTGTTCTTATTTTATAGTGGAGAACAATCTCTCGCGCAAGTAATAACGATATAATTTTTTTCGTGAAAATATTAACGAATTTTCAAAAATATTATTACAATGCAGAATAAATAAAGTGTGAAATAAAATAATATTTTTTAATTAAAAATAAACGAATCCTATTTGATTTTAACCTTGTTTATATCGGTATAATTAAATTGCGTTCTTATTAGTCAATTAATAAATTACGTTATCTTGACGTAAAATATTATTTCCATTTATATGTTGTAATTCGATGATAATAAGTCTTATCATGATGCGTCAATCAAATATGGACTCCTACTGATCCACCTACTCTTTATTACTACTATCCAATTGTAACAAAAGTCGCGTTAAATATATCTTTATCATACATTTAATTTACTACGCATTCATATTATTCAAACATATCCGTCACATTGACTAAATTTTTTCATTCTCAATCAACTCTCTTTTTCTCTTCTAACAATATTATTTAGATCAATATTAACATTATTATTTAGAATCTAAAATTTTCATTGAAATAAATCTCCATGAATAAGATACATGTGTCCAATATTACCTCGTGTTGTTGAGAAGAAGATCCCTGGGTTTGATCGTAATTGCCAAATTGATAATTACGGTAACTCGAAGAGCCAACCGTCAGTTGGTTTCCCATCAGCGATCCTCTGGGCAAACCCAGTCCAAACATATCCGAAATTGCACTGTCGCCTGTTATAAAAAAATAAAAGAAAAATTAACACATTTATTATACAAAGTAAAAATTTCATACAAAAACAGATCTAATAAAAAAATCAGAAAGAACTTTAATTTTTCGTAAAGCAAAAACTCCTGTGATATCCATAAAGATCAAAATCTTTGAGATCATTTCTAGAAGAATTTTTAAGAGAACTTTCAAAAACAATTTTATTACAGGATGTATACTCAAATCTTAGAAATCAATTCTCTGAGGATTCCATGATTTTCCAGGTAATTTTGTTCAAAATTCCAGGTAAAATTAAGTATTTTAAATTATATTTAGAATACAACTTTGAAATAAGTTTATTTGTTATACATAATTTTTTAATATAAATGAAGTATTTTTTAAATATATTAATGTAATATACTATATAGGTATAATATATTTTAATATATACTTTATATATAAAACAAATAAATTTTATATTCTTTAAAACTATATTTTAAAGGCAAAGGGGCAATTTTTAAAAAAATTCCCTGAGTTTAAATCAAGCTCCATGATAATTCCAGGATTTTTCAAGGTAGAACAAAATTCCCTGAGAATTCCAGGTTTTTCCAGGGAGTGCACACCTTGTATTATCATCGATTAATTAGAAAAATATTCTATATTTACACAAATAAGCGGGAATAAAAAAATGCTTTGTCTCACCGTCTATGCTGACGTTCTTGTCGGATTGGGAAGAGGAGGAGGCATCCTGCGAGAAATTCGGAAGATGCGTAGGTGACGGCGGCGGTGGTAGATCGATTAATAAATTGTTGATGGACTGCAATGGTGCAATCTCTCGCGTTCCTGTTCGCGTTCCTTGCCGCGTTCCCGCTCGCGGTCTGACTCAGTTTACGCAGCAGCAGCTTGCTACGTTCGCGATTCTGCGTCGCATCCTGATGGTGCAACGGATCCTGATGATGCATCGATGATGGCTCTCGATCAAATTCAACGTCCGTTTCGTCGCTTTCGTCGCTCACCAGAGAAATATCCGTCTGCAAAATAAATGTGTACTTATCAGTCGCGGAAGTGACTCGAACAAATACACATACTGGATAATATATTTTACAAACGCGAAATCTTTGCAGCAACGTCTCTATATAATATTTCAACTACCAATTTTTATTTTTTGAACTGACTAAAAATCTCCGGTTATCATAACAATCGTGGAATTTGAAACGATCAAAAAAAGACGTCGAACTACTTATTTAATTAAACAAAAACTTCGTCATAATTCGATTTAGAAGTACAAATATCCACATTATTATATCTTCTTAGAAACAAAAACACTTGTATATATTTTACGTAGTTAAATTTAAATTTCTATTTAAAAAAAGCCTATTTTCGGAGTCCTTATCGATTTAAGACTCAAACATTTTTGCTTTTCTCAATCCCGCCACGAAAATTCATGACACACGCGATATGTATATATTAATATATAATATATAATATATTATATATATATTAATATATAATATATTATGATACATATTATTTAATGTATAATACATTTCTAATATATTACGGTATTTCTCACCGACGTCGTTTATTCCGAACCTCGCGGTCGTGTAATAATGAGGGTGGAAGTAGCCAGCTCTACTTCGAGAGATCGAATAATTCGCGCGCGACGTGTCACACACTCTCGACGAACGACGCCGATCGACTGCGCGGCGCAATCGGGGAAACGAAAACAGCGCGCCTCCTGAAGGACGCCACGCTGCCGGCCGTGGCGCGTTGTGGAATTTGCAAAAAAAAAAAAAAAAAGAAAAAAAACATTCTTTAGAGGAATGAAAAAGAGAGAGGGGAGAATATATATCGGGAAACACACATTCCACGGATTTTCCCGGAATTTTGCCTCTCGAAACGGGGAACCCGGTTGAGTTTACTACCCTCGTTACTTGTACACGTGATAATTCTATCTATATGTATTTACTACGTCATCGGTGACGTAATATCGTGAGTCCTCTTCACTCCCGTCTGAATTTTGCAAGATTTTTCTATCTTGAAATGATCGAGCATCTCTTATTATCCTAATGCTATAACAATGAATACGATAAATATAATATATAATGGAAATATTAATAAAAGCGATAATAATAAAATTAAATAAATAAAATAAAATAATGTCTTGTTAATATTTTAAGACAAAAGATTATATATGTTTGTGAGCTTTTTATGTAAATAAAAACATTTTCTCGAGATATAGAATAAAACTGGAAATAAATTATTTAATTATACAAGCGATGAAGATTAAAATAATCATAAATAATAATAATAATAATAAATAGTTAAAAAATTTGTGCTGCTGGGAAATTTGCAATAAACTCGGAAATACACCTCATCGGAATTTAAGATATCTAGAACACGTGTCATTATATCAAATTTCATAATTAACTCACCCTCATATAAATCGATCGTTTTAAGAATTTTTAGCAGTCGCGCATACACTGATCTCATTTTCTTTATATCTGACAATAAATATATTCAAAAGAATACGAGAGATATATTAATATATTTCTCAGAAATAAAATTCTCGTATAAATATTACAGCTCCGATACGTATGTCGCCGTGTTTATTTACATTTGCTCCGGCGCAGGACATTCCTTCGCGATATATATCTGATATACTTATGTCGTCCACGTAGCGCGTTGAGTTAATAAACGAGGATTTCCAGCACATTAAAAATCAAGAATAAAAAAGATGACAATCACCTGAATCATCAAAAATAAAAAAATAGCAATTGAAATCACAAAGCGCGGAACCGATCGGTTTGGTTACAACCCTAAAATGTCTTGACTTTTTTCAATTCTTCATATTCTATCGATGTTTATAGAACAATATAATACGAGGCATATATTATAAAATAAATATGATCAACATGATATGTATATATTAGACGTCTTTTTCTTCAAAAACGTGTGATTAAGAATGCGAATTCAAATCCGACATTAATTCCAAATAATCCTTAATCTTGCGGAAAAGGATGACTTACCGATTGCATTAATGTGGGCATCTCCGCGGAATGGATTTCGACGGCGGTCCCGAAGAAAGATCCTGATTTTTCGGGGATGATGTAAATTCGGCTCGACCTCCAGACACGAGCGAGTGAGAGCCGCCGACTCGACTGTCGTCGTCCGCCACTAATAACAACGCGCGATAAGCTTCATGTGTTGCGCGTTTCCCGAGAAGTTACGTGCGAGTGATGACGATGATGAACAGTGGCGGCGGCGAGGGATGATTCCTCTGGATGATGAAAAGCTCACCCGGGAGACTTTGACACGTTGCGTGTTGCGCGAGATGCGCCGCATTCGCCTGATATTTCCTGTCGAAAAATCTCTCCCGATCCTTTATGATTTGTCGACGGGGTGGAACGTTGGTACGCCCATTCTTTCGCCCTGCTATACTACTCCGAATGATTAAAAGATTTCTCCGCTCGTACATTCTTTCTTTTTCTCCACTCTTCTCTCTCTCTCTCTCTCTCTCTCTATCTATCTCTATATATATATATATATATTCCCTCGCACGCACGCTCCATCAAAGACCGCGACGATTCGGGGTCTTTGAACGTATCGTGCGCAAATTTGTTATATTGTCGCGTTTTTATTCTTTTACATTTTCTCGTGCGAGAAAATTTGGAAGAGTTAAATACCTAAATTAGTGTCTTTTTTTCTTAAATAAAATTTAATAAAGATAGACGTGAATCCTAAAGAAAAGACTTATGTTCGATTTTTGTTGCAAGATTCCGAAATTAACTATTAAAATTGTCATCGCATTTTTCATTTTTCAAGCTAATACATGTTTAATAAACGTAAGTTGTTACAATATCAACGGAGTAAGGTGTCTTGCCACAACATCGCGAATAATCTTACAAGATGTATCAAAACTAAAGTGATATAAAAATATATATACAATATTTACACCATTTTAGTACTAAATATTACATATGATTGCGAAGAATAAATATGCTTTAAGCGAAATTATTTGCTTTGTACGTTGATGAAAGTGTGAGAAAAGTTCGCGGATTCAATTATATTCTATATGCGCAGTCGATGAATCTAACATTTCAACCTCGGAAGTATCACCGGTTGAGTAATTCACAACATCTCGCGTTTGTCGTTCTAATTTCCCGGACGTACCATCTTCCCAAATCTTTCCCATTTTGCTGGAATTTTCTCCCCAGCTATTAGAAAAGAGAATCACTTTTAATTTATCGATATCTTGACTGCTCGAGCTATTGCCTACATTGTTGGAATTTTCCGGTCTGGCTTCGTTGTCCTCAGATTTGTATTTCGGTATTTCCGTAGGTGCATCTGAAAAAGTCTTGTTCGTAAACATGTTCCGCAGTTTTATCACGAGTTTAAGAGTATAATGTAAAAATTGAATCGCTCATTGCAATATCAATAGTATGTCATGTACCAGGATAAGGTGGTGCCTCATCAATCAAATGTTCCATCACGTAACCCAACATGGTTGCGGTAAATGTGTCATCCTTTCTGAGACCAAGTGCTCTATGAAAAGCATCCACTGCTTCCTGAATGTTACCCATTAACGCGTGAATAAACCAATCGATGAGTAAGTCGATGGATTTAAAGGATCCAAGACTAATGCCTGTTGATGATATTCCAATGCCTCGTCATACTTTTTCATTTTCTACAAGTGTGACCCAAATTATTCAGTAGTGCTTCCCATTTACTGGGAAGAATCACATTTCTTACGTCGCCCTGAATGCTTTTCATAGCTTCCTTAAATAATCGTTCTGCATTTTTGTAACTGTGTTTAACAAAATAATTTACATGGGTAAATTGAGGATACATGCAATATTTTGATTTTTCTAGTATAAATAATAGCACATAATAATATTAAAAATATCAAGAAATAATACTTACTCTAAGTTGTAAAAGTATATAACGCCCATTTCATGTATCACAAATGGATCGTTCGGTGCTATTCCTTGAGCTTGTTGAAAGAACTTGTCAGCCAGTTTAAGATTATTCGTCAAAACGCATTCTAATCCGATATACAAAAGCGGAAGATGGCAACCTTTCATCAATTGTGATGCTTTAAAATAAGCAGCCATTGCTTGATCGTGCTCATTTTCTACTGCAAAGGAATGTCCATACGCCAACCAGCAGGACCAAATAGTCTGTCCAGCGCGGTAGCCTTCGCTAAATATCTTCTAGCTTGATCACTTTTACCTTAAATACAACAAATTATATTGAAAGTGTTCTAGTATTTCTTTTTTATTCGCAAACATTTATATTTTTATTTATTTTAATACTTTTTATTTAGTGATTTAAGAAATAATTAGTAAATAATAATTAGTTACTTATGGTGTAATAATAGCATCCGACTGCAAACCATGCCAAAGCCATTTCCGGATATAAATCAACCAATTTGTGTGCCAGATAAAATAAAGCTAAAAAAGAAATAATTTTCATTAACAAATTTAAATGCTAATAATCCTTTTATTTATGACAAGATATAAACTTACCATTAGTCTTTTTAAGCTCGACTAAGCAGGCAATATGTACTGGCAGACACGAGTTATGATATGGATCCTTTTTCAAGATTCTGAATATTGAAAGTGTCATATTATGTTTTGGAAAATATAAAAAATATTGCTATAAAAATAATATCTCATAATAGAAATGTGATATTTACTTTTCTGTAAGTGAGAAACATTGATGATAATCACAATTATAATATAATCTTTCAGCCTTTGCAACTTGCATATCTAAATTATCCACCAATCTGTCAGCGACAGAAATTCCCATTACATTGCATGTAATTAATGATTGTTTTGTATTTGGCGCTTGATATTTTTTTAGTTTACTATCGTACAACAGTTGCAGAAGTTCTGCTTCACCTTTTACACATTGTTCAGCAAACGGTAAGGATTCCAAAAGTTCCCGCTCTAAATTAGCACATACACACATAATTGTTATTAATTTATTCATTAAATACACATTAATTTACTTTAAAAAAATATAAAAATACCTTCAGAAGCTGATAGCATCTGATTCTGTACTAAAGCTTCAAATGCTTCATATGAATAAACATCACATTGTAGAGCTTGTTTATAACATTCTGTTGCTACTGCTCTGTTATCCATTGCTTCGTAAACTCTTCCTTTTATATATAATATCGAACTCTGAACCTACAAAAAGATTATATATATGTATACTCATCTTAAATATTAATACAACAACTATAGTATTATAATAATCATGTTACAATTATAAATTTATTATTATTATTTTACAAATATAGATATTTATGTACATAAATATATAAATCCACTTACATTTTTTGGGGCATCCTGAAAAATATCCATACGACTCGCAAATGTAATACCTGCTTGTGTTATATTAGTGCATATTTCAGATTCATTGATAACTTGAAGAGCATCGCTATATTCTTTTGCTTCTAGCAAACACCTCACAGTCAAGTAATGACACATTACATCAGTCTGTAAAAAAAGATATATCATTGTTTAATTTAATAAATTATAAAGATGCACGGCTCTCATAAAACAAGAGTGTAACTATCGTGAATATTCATTTGTTGTAAACAACTGATAGATTTAAATTAATTTGATAAAATTACCTTTTGTAATCCATATCTCTTTATGAGATGTGCAGCACGATGGTATTGTTTCATGAGATACATGCACTGTGCCAAGGTGCATATATCTTTTGGATCCTGGTTGCTCAGCGACACTACTTTATCAGCCCAAAACAAGGCGGCACTGTACAGATGCTGAAAGTGAATAAGTCAAGTTAGATGTACGCTTAAACGTAGAGCTTTGCAATGTTCTTTTAACAAAACTTACCAAATCGATGTACGATTTAACTAATTTTCTACATTTTTCCAGATCAATGCTCTTCTCATCCAACAAGTTATCCATGCTATCATTATCAGCATCGCGATGTGACATGTTTAATTTAAGTTTAGACGTTAGTTTAATTTTAACTTTAATTAATTTAGACGAAGTTTCTTTTTTGCAGAATGCTTTCAACTCGAAACAATTGTCCAGCATATACAAGAGAATCAGGTTAGAACTGATCACTTGTCAGATAATAACTAGATTTTTAGTAAACAAAAGTTTAGAAATCTCAAGTTCCTCGTGAAACAGATTTCATTCGCTTCTAACAGCACCTTTTCGCATTTACTTTATTCAAAATACGTACAATAACTCCTTTAACAAACAGGTGAAAAACAAATGCAGAAACGTTACTGAGAAAATAGCTGATATACTCGATAAATTTTACACTGAAAGCGTAAAAGCTTTATTGTTTTAGCTGTATTTTCCTTCTGTATTTTTTAAAATAATATAAATTTTGGAGAAAAAGAAAGCTCACATATATAAAATATATAAAATACACAAGCAAAACAAACTCGACTATTATTTTGAACAGCTGATTATCTCAACTACACGCACGCGCATTGCGACCACACTTGTAATCGATCATTATGATCGATATTAAGGGTCGGCAGGCGACATGGTGGAGACGCCTATCGGCCGGCCGGGAATTACGGATTCTTATTTTCCAGATATTAGCGAAAATATTGAATGAATCTTATTAAATTTAGGATATTCTTAATCAGTAAGCTCATTTGTAGTCCTCTAAAGAGCTATTTTATGAAAAAAAGATAAAAATAAAAATTTTTAATAAACTTGGGGGAATGCACAGCTAGGAACGGGTAAGGTTGGGTTAGCCGCGAGTCCGTATTTTATTTATTATAAATTTTTAAGAGCGAAAATGTAAAATCCGGCCTTTTAGAGGACTGCTTTATTATATAAAGAATATATTAAAAAAAAATTCACGAAGTTATGTCACTTATTTTATGAAATATCTGGACGATAAGATTCTCACTAGATTCATAAGGAGCAGGGGAAATTTCTGTGGTAACATGCTGACTGCTTGACAAGGAGAGAGCATCATTCCATCTTTGTCTCTCTTACATCGCATATGTAGTAGCGTCCATGTAGGTACAAACACTAATACGTGAGCACACGGATGCAAATATTGAGAGATAATGTCAGCAAAAAGGCTATCATATTATTTTTATTTTTTTGTATATGTATGCATATGTAAATAAAGAACAAAAATAAAAACTATTTTAAGATGACATTTTATAATTAATTTTCTATATGTATTTGCATTTTATTAATATGTATTACATTTTTGATATGTTTTTAATTTATAATTTATATAAACATAAGTATGAAATAAAAATTGAAATAGTTCTGAAAATAAGTATATTAATGATAAAATTATTCAAAACAATAAAAAAATTAAATTTAATATTTTTTAGTGTTTGTACCTACATGGACGCTACTACATATGCGATGTAAGAGAGACAAAGATGGAATGATGCTCTCTCCTTGTCAAGCAGTATTAAAAGCCATATTAAAAGCTCTAGCTT